TCTGGCCCAAACAATATAAAAGCAAAGATCCACTCTACCTTATGTCAACAGGCACAGAACAAACCTGGAGTCAGTTAATATTCCCGCATGCAAAACTGGAAAAACTACAAACTGCACAACTTGTGGGAATACCAAGAGTGTAGCAAGCAGGTTTTTCCTGCTTTGCAAACAGTGGACAAAACCTCCAGAACACACACTGTCACACACAAGATCACAGGAACAGAAGGCAGATCAGCTTGCAGTTTTCCAAGAAATAAATGACTGTTTCCACAGAGAAATGTCCCTCGGAGTGACAGCAGGGTAATACATTTGTTATGTTTGACCGTGACCGTGGTGCATGACTCAGAGTCGGTGACTCACAGCCTGGCAGAGGTTATAGTTTTACTCTCTTACACCCGCAGATGCCCATTAAAACAAACCACATGTAGCAGTATGTGGGTGATCACAGAACAGATCAAAATGCAGCATGTTAATAATTACAGATAGTGCCTGTGTCTTCAAGGCATGTGTGATCATCGCTGTCTAACAAGACAGACGCTTTTTTTTTGGTCCTCTGTCAAACAGGGTGAGCCTGTGATTATTGCACTGCAGTTAAACCCATGTCTTTTAAGCACGAGTCTCACATTTGTGCCACAGAGTGAGCGTGCCTGTCTATGCAGTAATGCTGCAATGTAGTAAGCCACTGTTGCTATGCTACCACTGAAGAATGGAGACGAATGCATGTAATTACTAAATACTGTAACATATAACACAGTAAATACATAAATAATGTAGATATTTGCATTAATAACAGTTAAAATGATGTGTTGGCACCAAAGCAAGTGGTGTAGATAGTTCTAGGAGTATTATAATCGGGACCATTTCTTTGTGTGTCCTGATACATCAACAGCAGCTAATGCTTTTCTTGAAATGTATTTTAGATATCAGCACTTAGAAAATGTTCCAGAGATCATGTCAGTCAAAACTGAGATTTTAGTGAAAGGTTCAGAGTGTAAAAAGAAAACGCCCACTCCATTAATCTGAATTCTCCAAGTGACATGATCCTTGCTTTTAAATCAGAACTATACTATAAGGGTTTTCTCAAAATATTTCACTGAACTGGTTTTTAAAAGACTGAATAATAATCATACCTTTTCTTATTAAGTAGATCTTCAGTAATGTGCAATCATGTGCGAACTATCTTAGCTCTTTAAGCAGTCTTAAGGAATACTTCTCCAAGTGCTTTCATGGACTTTCCTGTAATGTTTGTCCATGTAACCTGCTGAATATGTACGGAGCTCTGTCATCCCACAAATATTAATGAGAACCTATTACTCAAATTCTCACCAAAACACTCTTATTCTATGATTTGTTAAGTGTGTTAGCTTGATTCAGAGTTCAAAGTAATCCTTAGTTATGTTATACTAGGCCCTGATGTGGTCTATCAGTTCATTCACTGTGTAAAATGTGCTGTTATAGCTGTTTTTTCCTTTAAGGACCTGACTTTAAACTCATTAACGTATGACAGTTTTCTCCCTGAAACAGAGAGTTTGAGCGACAGATACATGGGGCTTTGGTGCCTACAGCTGAAGCTATTTTATTTAATTCAATTTAGTTTGATTTAGCTCCAAATTACAACAACAGTCCTGTAAGGGCACTTTATATTATAAAGACATAAAGAACAATCGGTAACCCTCTTACAAGCCAGCACTTAGCGACAGCGGGAAGGAAAAACTCCCTTTTAACAAGACTAAACCTCAGAGAGAACCAGGCTCAGGGAGGGGCAGCCCTCTGCTGTGATTGGTTGGGGGGGGGGAGACATGATAAAAGACACGTTGAGCTAGAGATTAATAATAACTAATGATTAAATGCAGAGTAGTGTGGTGGTGTTTCATCATCAAAGTCAATCAAAGAATCAGCTGAGAACATAAAAAGATTTTAAAAAGTGATCACAGACAATTATATTTCTTCTTCTGTAGAGATCAGGACACAGTCCTGCTACGAGACAGAAACAGCGATGGCAGTCACCAGCCCTCAGAGTCACTGTGTCACTGTTTCGCCCAAGAAAATTTGTATTTCTTAGAGCTAATTTGGTTCAAAATGTTATATAAAAGTGCCTTTTTCCCTCTGTGTAATCACAGATACCACACAAGGAGCAATTAAAACTCCTTGTTGTAAAAAGTGTGTCTGTGACCAATGTTTTTATAACTTTTCTCTGTTTTCCCTCCCACCACCTTCTCCTTCTCTTGCAGCCAACAGTGTCTGCATCCCACTATAACGCTCTGTTTGGTTCCCTCTCCCAGCGCCTGACATGCCGGCACATAAAGATCTTTCATTTACTTTCCCTGGAGTAAATGTCAGAGATGATTTCCAGAGGGAAAGGATATAAACTGCCTCAGAGCGATGCAGGCCTCTCCAAACGCGTGGGCAGCACCATGAATTGGTTTGCTTTCTCTCCACCGCTGGGGATTATTCAGGGCATTTAGAAGAACATACTGTCAAAGCAGTTAAAAGAAAGGGAAGAAAGAAATAAGAAAGCATAAAGTCTTTAATTGGCAAAACGTGATATTGCCTTTCTTGGGACTCTTTAATGTCTCATCCAGCGCTATGTGTGAGAACAAGCGCTTCCACAAGCATCTAATTAGAGTGGCTTGGCAGTAACTTGTCTACGTTCACACACTACGGAGCCCTGATTAGTCTTCTCAGCCTGCAAATGAAATGCAGTGGAGAGTGTTGCTCGTCCGTACGTAGGTCTGTTTATCTGAAACCAGCTTTATCAACTGTCATGAAAATGCAACTGCAAAAGTGACTTTCTGGAGGAGAGGTGCAGACAAAAGCAGGACGGACAACAGCAACTGAAGTGAAAATTCATATTCAAGCTTGATGGTCCATCAGGAAGCATTTTTTTGGTGACAGCAGTTCTGCTTTTGAACACAATAAATCTCCACTGTATGAGTCATCAGTGGCCGCAGTGTGTATTCCTGTGTGCGTGCGTGTGGAGAGGAGGGCAGCTGAGTTAAGTTATGTGGAACTGAAACCATCTGGTTTCTTCCTCATCACAGAGAACAGAAATACCTCAACTCGTCACCAGACACGCGCAACAGCCTCTCATCCTGTTGTCATGGCAGTAAAGCGCAGGATGGCGAAAAAATATTTCTTTGAGCAGGTCAGATATTTATGTTCATGGCTTCCACCAAACAGCTGGTTTTGTTATCTGGTAATTACACTACGTGTACCGAGCAGAAGTGTGGCACACGCACAGTAGCTTTTTAATATGTAATCAACATGACTGAACTGTGCAAACATTATATGGATTATAAAATAACTATTCAATATGAGTGACATCTGATAAGCTTTATACTGAAAACCAACCTAATTGTTAGTTTGACCATGTAAATATACACACATATACACATATACATAACTAAAGATATTTCAGCACATCATATCCCACTCACCACTGAGCCTCTGATCAGCTGTGTGTTAATGCAAGTATCTGATCAGCCTATCACATGGCAGCAACTCAGTGGATTTAAGCATGGAGACATGGTCTAAGTCTAACCTGCTGAAGTTCAAACTGAGCATCAGAATGGGAGACGAAAGGTGATTTAGGTGACTTTGAATGTGGCATGGTTGTTGGTGCGACACAAGCTGCTTTGAGTACTTCAGAAACTGAATATTTCTGTCATGGTTCGCCGTTTGCTGCTCTGGTTGCTGTGCTCACCTTCTCCGCCAGGGCGACGTCTGTGCCATCCTGGATTCCACGCCCACGCTGTACTCACCTGCTGCTCATCTCTACTGATTACTCCAGGCAATACTTAAGGCCTCGGTGGAGTGTTGGTCCTCGTTGGATCGTTGTACTTACTTCACCCTTCCTTTCAGATTGAGTGTTTTCATTATCACAGACTGATTGAAGAGGTGTGTGAGTGAGTTTTTCCCCCAGCCCTGGACCCTCCCTCTGAACCCCAGGGACCCTCTCCCCACATTCACTGTATATATGTATATATCTCACCTGGTGCTGTAAATAAACCCTTTTCTGCTTGCACATCTCAGAGTCCTGCATTTGAGTCCTGCCCAGCAAATCGTGACAATTTCAGAAACCATCACAGTGAAAGAAAAACTGTCCAAAGAGCATCAGTTCTCTGGGTGAAAATGTGTAGTTGATGTCAGATGTCAGAAGAGAATGGCTAGACTGCTTCGAGTTGGTAGGAAGGCAACATTATGTTAAATAAGGTATGCAGGTATGCAGAAGAGCATCTCTGTATGCAAAACATGTCAAAGCTTGAAGCAGATGATACACAGCTGCAGAAAACCTCACTGGGTGTCGTTTCCATCAGCTAAGAAACAGAAATTGAGGCTTTAATTTACAAAAGTGAGAGTTTACAAAATCTTACAATAAATGACTGCAAAAACATTGCATGGATCCATGCTGCTGTGTATTGCTGCTGATCATGCGCATCCCTTTATGACCACAGTGTTCCTATGTTCTGATGACTGCTTCCAGCAGTTAACACATCATGTCCCAAAGGTCAAATCATCGCAAGCTAGTTTCTTAAACATGACAATGAGTTCACTGTAGTCAAATGCTCTGTTGAGATCCGGACATAGATGTCATTTTGGCAGCTTTGAAGGCAAAAGGTGCTCCTAGCAAGCTGTATCTAATAAATAATGCATATCAATCATTCTTTCTATCTATGTAATATGTACTATTTTAATAATTACATGAAACATTATTCTTATTATTAAAAATTGCTCATGATTTTATAGCTGAGTCTGATGTTGCTGATGTGTTGATGATATCTTTTAAAAATGGGAACTTTAGAGCTGACACTGCTGCTACACACAGCTGGAGTAGTCTCTGGATGGAGTCAGCGAAGGAGTCCATGAACTATGTGGACCACATATTGAACGAAGCAAAGTGAAATATCAGCGAGCGAATACTGAACACTCAACACAGAAGGGAGGAGGCTCCTTTAACCCGTGGATCTAATATTTAAGACAAACACAAAGGAAGAGCACTAAAAATCTTTATTACAACAATCCAAGATGCTACATTAAGAGTTACATGAAACTTACTAAACAGTGGACACAGTTGTTTACTATGAATCAGATCTCACATGTGAAACTCGTCTTTTAAATGTTCTTTTTAAACAAACACTGCATGACTCCTTATTAAAAAACAAAAGTTATGCCCAGTTACAGTCGTAACAATGTAATTACATTAATCAATCCGCCACAGCAAATGCCAAAGTGAGACTGGTAAGAGTTTGCTCTCAGAGAGATATCTACATTTCCACTTTCTAATATATCTTCAAAGGCTAATGGCACCGTCAGAGCGGCTACAATAACGTCTAAGTACTGTAACCGAGGAGGAATCATTAGCAGATTCATAAGGCGGCAAGCTCTCCTGCTGCAATACACGGTATTTCACAGCAGCACACCAGATAAACTATTTCAGTACATGTCACTCACATTACAGCAGCAAACATATAATCTTTCCTGTAAGGACACAGAAAGCACTGAGGAAGCCTGTTTATGTGCACACACGCACACACACGCACTAACAAACGTACATTTGAAGATAGTATCAACTGTTGTCACTTTTCGTCTTAACGTCTGGTCACTTGGGATGTGTGACGAAACATTTCTCCCACTGAAAACTCAACGCCCAGATGAGCAGAACCCACTTTCTGGGCTTTCCGAGTCACATGACGGAGCAGGTGAAGCCGCAGCAGTCTTTCAGCAGCGTGAGGCCGGTTTTAGTGAGAAGCGGCGCTGACGTCTGCTGGGATTTAAACGCCACCTTTCGATCTTGCGAAGCACCTGAAGCTTAAAGGAGACGACATGACAGTACAATCACCACAGTGGGTTCACAATCATTAAGATTTACTGGTTACTTAACTGGCTTTAATAGTTAACTGTTAACTGCCAGCTTTCTGGTTAGACTCACCTTTTGCAGCCAAAGCTTTGGGAAATTTGGACTGTAAGAAGGCTGCCATCTCTCTGTCTTCCTCTCTCTCCCTGTGAAAAAGAATATTTCCTTGTTATTCGCTGTGAATTACAGGGTTTAAAATTTTTATTACATCTTGTTAAACACCACAAGGCTTGCTTTAAATCCCAGGCTGTGGGCATCACAGCATCCTCACAGTTCAGAATATTTTCGCATTTACTTTAACTAACGAGCGGAGGTGACTGTCACGCTCCTGCTATGTTTTTACAGACAGATTTGTCTCCGAAATAACAACCTAGTTATCAGAAGCGACAGCTGATCTGTGAGTGATGGTGGACATGCTATCATTAATTAGGAAAATATACAAAGGGGCTTCGTAGGAGCGGAGCTATATGAAGAATTAAGTAACAAATAACTAATTAAGGCTTTAAAGCTGTATGCTCTTTTGTCAGTGGAAACATCACATGAAGGATCAGATTATTGTCCAGATTCTGTTCTGAGATGCTTTTTATTTCTGACTCATCTCTGTAATCCCCCTGAATACCAGAGTGTGGCACTCAGTCAAAGTTCTTTTCATCCATTAGCCTCACCTCAGCCTTTCAAACTCTACGTCGTCCACAAGGAAGTCTCTGGTCTCCACCAGCTTGTTGATCTGCTGCAGCAGCTTCTCTTCTCTCTCCCGGTCCTCTTTGGACTTGTCTTTGTCTGTTCAGTAGTCACGAGACAAGCCTTCTGTTAGAAATTGTAATCACTGTGCAGTGTACCAACAGACTTTATAAAAAGAGATGGATGTAGCCACTGTGCCAGCATCTGTCAGTTTCATTGAGAAGGCTTGAGCTTTAACTCAAAGCTGCTTCATCCTCTATTTTACTCCCATCGTGTTGTATTCAGTACCATGAGAAACTAATTTGTTATAAATGTTAGTGAGGTGAGTGAGTAGGGTCATTTTAATCTTGACTTCTTTTTGCGACCACAAGAGTCGACCAAGATTATAGATTCTTATGCCCTTCTGCACACAGCAGGGGAAATAAGTACTGCGTCCTTCGCTGAATTTGTACGTTTGCTCGCTTCCAAACAAATGAACAGTTTGGAATTTTTTTTTTTACTTTTCTTTTTAGTTGCCAGAGAAACTGTCTTTTCTCTCTGGGTTGCCATCTCAACTTAATGAACAGAGGAATGCGAGTACTCCTTCGACAATAAAGAACTAAAATTCAAGTAGAACACAGAAAAGGCTCCAGAGGCTCATTGTTGCTTGACCTGAAAACCTTTCTTTTAAAAAGTATTTTTCTTTAATTGTCAGCAAGCTCGTTCTGAAGATGTGCTTAATTCACTCCAGTCCTCGCTGAACTGTGTTACTGGAGACAGCTCATATCTTTTCAACTATGACAGAGCAAACAAGAACCGCACAGGGCCCGCTCAAAGCACGCTGTCACCAGGTTAAAGTCGAGAGGCGCAGGCTACTTTTTAATTTACCTGGAATTGAGACAAGCTTCTGCAACTCCTGCTTCAGCCTTGTGATTTCTTTGCAGAGCTGGATGTCGTCCATCCTGAGAGAAAAACAGACAAATAAAGAAAATATTTCTTTACCAAACTTTAGATATCTGCAGCAAACAAGCTGATATTCAGGTAAAACAACAGTTAAGCTACACTTGTCTTCACATGGGCTTTAGAAAAAACATGTTTTATGTGGTAATTCCCACCTTGTGTGACAATTGTATGGGTATATCAAAGAAACAACCACTGGACTCAGCTTTTGGCCACAGATGACAGTGGTTTATTAGCTGAAGTAACACCACCACATTGCCCTCTGTGAATGAATCACACCCAACAGTATCTGATCTCATTTCGTCCTCTGACTCTGATGGCGATTTCCAAACAACAGGGGCTGGTTGCATAGGTATTATCTGTGTATGTGGCGGCGTGTGCGCATACGTGCGGGCTGCTATAAATAACAGTGGTGTTAAAAAGAGGAAAGTGACTGTAATAGATGTGCTCTGAGCTGCTGCTTTAATTAAATAGGTTTCACTTCAGTGTATATATGCCAGCGTGACTCATAGGCTCACAGCGACGTGTTTATTCAAAATGCTTGAAAGCAGGAGTTTGTATGAACGTCACAGAGAGCCTAAAGGACGAGGATGTGTTTGCTGCCTATAAGAGGACTTCTGTGGTACAACCCCCCCCCCCCCCCCCCCCCCCCAAAAAAGAAAAAAAAAAGAAAACAAACCCAGGAAAGCTACTTAGAGAACATCATGATAAACCCAAACAGTGTTGGATAAATAACAGAACTATGCTTCGGAGGTTGAGTTTGAGATTTGTCTACTTAATTTTGTTACTTTTAATCTTTTTAGTTTTTAAGCTTTGCTACCCAGATAAAGGGGAGCCCTGAATGTAAAACGTTTATCTTATTATCTCTTTGCTAATGCTGTTCTCTAATAGTTAGCTAACTATATTAACTGCTTAAAAGGATGTGCTGTTAAACAACAGAATGGAAAGCTAAACCTGTTGTTTAAAGGTCAAAGAAATAAACTATAATAAATATTCTTTGTGTCATCAATTTCATTTCCATGTAAAATTACATGAACAAAT